GGTGATTGGAATCTATTTGTCTAGATGGTTCCATATGTGAACTGGGAACTGTATTTCTTGGTCATTTGTGAGTAAGATAAAATATAATGAACTTAACTCATCATGGCCTATGGCTCTTCTTAGATATGCTTGCCAACTATATACGTGGACTTAATGCAACTAGATCTATATCACAAGGTTTTAAATTTGCAATTCAAGTAGATTATTTGTGTACTGGTTGTGAGGGTTAGGAATAGTTTTGGATATCGGTTCTGTTTTAATCTTTAATTTATTGTTTTGTTGGGTTAATATTTCCTCTATTTTGCACATAGTGGCCTCTAAAGAAGCATATTCTTGTTATATTTTTTATTTTTACATTCAAAAGCATATGTAGTAGTGGCTTTTTTTTTTAATTTTTTTGTAGAGCTTCAAGAGATATGCTTCAGAAGAGAACAATGCTTTATGAACATCAGTTTCTATATACCCATGTCAAGAAATGACATCAGGCTTATTTAATCTTTTTTTATTTTTATTTTTTATATTTTGTGCATGCAGGCGGTTAGGAATGAGAAGGATTTGGAAAGTTTAAATGTTCCACCTAAATACAGAAGCATGAACTCTTTTTGGAAGTATTACTCTGGAGAGAAAGTTGCACCAATTCCAACTATATTTATTGGTGGAAATCACGAAGCATCCAATTATCTTTGGGAATTGTGAGTCATTTACTTTGCGTTAGATCTATTGGTATTTAATTGTGTGAATGTATGACTAGTTTCTTTTTGGAAACTGAGATCGGTATTCACGCATGTTACCTACTACACATATGAATATCCATTTTTTTTAAAATTTGAGGTTAGTAGACACATATGTTCTCTATTACACTTGTCATTTTTTAGTTAATGTATTCTCAAGGTTCTCCTGGGTGGGTGGAGTTAATGAATAGGGTCTTGACCTTGATGGTGTAGAACCTTGCAAGTGATTGTTGGATAAAAAATTATGTCGGCCTTTATGAATAAAGTATGTTGTCAATAAAGTTCTTTTTATTTTTTTAATCTTCTCCTGTCCTTTGCTTACAACGAAACAATTGCTTTGCTTCTTGTCAATTACTCATTTATAGTATGTTTTAAGTGAATATGTGATAGACCCCGAATCAGGTATATTCTAGAAGAGCCCGGACCATTGTGCAACAGATGCAACAGATTTTGTTAACCAGTCCAGCTGGCTGGGATAAGTAGTTGCAAATAGTTTATAAATAGAGAAGAGGAGATATGAATGTGGAGGCAAATATTGACTATGTAGAAGAGAGTGTGGAGAGGAATAGCCCTCTCGAAAGGATATATGTTCTTTTCATTTGTTGGTAGGTTTACATATTGCATCTCATCTTTTTTGTTGGTTAATTGTTCTAACCTAAAGGAATCCTATTAAATGGTATCAGAAAAACCATTCTAGGACATTACAGCTGATGAAGAAAAGCGATTGCGAGATCGATTGGGAAGGAGGGTGGAAGAAAGGATGGAACAGATCCAAAATTGAATTGCATTTAGGGTGAGTCCATAAGATCTACATTTTGCAAGGTTGAGAAGAAGATGTCATGGATGATAGAGAAATTTGATGTGATGATGAACAAATGGGAAAACAGGGAATGGGGAAGGAAGGAGGAATGTCGGCATCTCTTCAAGACGTTAGCATTGCCATTGCAGGAGCAACTTGTGGAGGGCTATTTATAAATAGGCTTCGATCTAAAATTGAAAATTGGTTGTTAGAAGATAATGGACTGGGATGTATGATGAAAAAGGCCCAAAGAGTGGAGGATAGGAACTAATTACTTGTACAGGGCCAAAGTGAATTGAGCCCAAATTAAGGAAAAGGCCCTGGATTAAATTCCAATCACCTCCACCAGATGCAATAAAAAATAGGGATACATTCAGGCGTGGAACATTTCTCCATTGGCCATTGCTACAAGAAGATATCGAAGGTACTTGTAATTGGAATAGAGGTTTCCGAAATTGAAAGAGATGAGTTGGAGGTTGTAATACCTAGACCAGGAAAGTTTAAAAGATTTGATAGGTACTACTCATACCAACAAGGTGCACCTTCTTTTCCGGAAGTCCATCGTTAGAAACTCTACAGTTAAGCGTGCTTGGCTTGGAGCAATTCTATGATGGGTGACCCCCTGGGAAGTTTTCTCGGGGAGCGTGCGAGTGAGGACAAAGCATNCTTGGGGAGCGTGCGAGTGAGGATAAAGCATGCTGAAAAGACCCATGTTGGTACAGTGGGGACAGTACGTCGTCGATCTAACTGCCGAGATAGCCCGTTAAGTGGGACCCGAGTCGTTACAAATGGTATCAGAGCCCGGTTGCTAGCCTGAAATCGGGAACTAAGTGCTATACGGGACAAAGTGCTACGCCATAGGGCGGGAGCCACCTCTTGAACCCGTAGGAGCCACCTCTAGAATCCCAACGCCTGGCAACGGATCCTCAGATGGATCAAGCGTGACGAGGACATCACGAGTCTAACGGGGGGTGATTGTAATACCTAGACCAGAAAAGTTTAAAAGATTTGATAGGTACTATTCATACCAACAAGGTGCACCTTCTTTTCCGAAAATCTATCGTTAGAAACTCTACAGCTAAGCGTGCTTGGTTTGGAGTAATTCTATGATGGGTGATCTCTTGGGAAGTTTTCTTGGGGAGCGTGCGAGTGAGGATAAAGCATGCTGAAAAGACCCATGTTGGTACAGTGAGGACAGTACGTCGTCGATCTAACGGCCGGGACATCCCCGTTAAGTGGGACCCGGGTCGTTACAGAGGTGATGCCTATGGTGAGGAGGCTGTCGAAAATGGTGATATGGTTGGAGCAATATCATCTGGTTTGGAGCAATTCTATGATGGGTGACCTCCTGAGAAATTTTCTTGGGGAGCGTGCGAGTAAGGATAAAGCATGCTGAAAAGATCCATGTTAGTACAGTGAGGACAGTACGTCGTCGATCTAACGGTCGGGATACCTCGTTAAGTGGGACCCTTGTCGTTACAGAGGTGATGCCTATGGTGAGGAGGTTGTCGAAAATGGTGATATTACTGGAATTTTTCTAAATTCTGTAGGAGGCCTAATTTAGGGTTTTTACTACTTTCCCTTCCCTGAAATAATGCAGTTGAAATTAGTCGTGATGTTGGAGGGTGTGGCTATCCTGAAGTTTATCTTGATCTGACGAAGTTCAGCTCATGGAAGTTTTATGGGCGGGTACGACAGGTTATGGACTTTTCTTGGACACTATGCTACTAATAGGTTGTCAGTCGACTCAGTCTGTGACCGAAATATTCCATTTCCTCATTGTCTTTGGTGGGGGATTCGTGCCAAAGAAATGGTTTATATGGTATTCTGAATTTTGCAGTTGAACCATACTTCAACCTTGAGGACAAGGTGGATTTCGGGGCGACGGGTAATGATAGACGCATATATTCTAGAACCATCCTGCAACAGATGTAACAAATTCTATTAACCAGTCCAATTGGCTTGGATAAGTAGTTACAAATGGTTTATAAATAGAGAAGAGGAAGGGAGGAATGGGGAGGCAAATATCGAGTGGGTAGAAGAGAGAGTGGAGGGAAATGCTATATGTTCTTTTCATTTCTATAACTCCCTGAGTATTAATAAACAATATTCAGTTATCTCTCAAGCTAGCTAGTATTTGGAGGTTTACGTGCTGCATCTCTTCTTTTCTGTTGATTAATTGTTCTAACCTACAGGAATCCTACCAATATTTTCCTTGGACTCCACTATCATATGTTAAGATGGAAAAAATTTCTTCTGCATTTATTATCTAATAAACCCATTTTTATCTTTTAAAGGGGGTGTTTATGTAAAGATATGCTAATACATGATCGAGTTAAAAGAAGTTATAAAAATTTCATAGCTCTATAATGGATTTTTAGAAATAATAATAGGTCAATATTTTGTCTTATTCCTACCTACATTTAATCACAAAGAACATGAAGCTTTATGCCTTTTTCAGTTTATAGTTGATTTTTTTGTTGTAATTTAAAGGTCTTGTAGAATCAATTTGGTTCGATGCAGGTGGGTCTATTGTAGAAGCTGTATACCTAATTAGGAAATTGAAAGAAACATTGAGAAAAGGAAGAGGAATTGCGTATGAATAGATTTTGAGTGAATTGCTATGGTAGATTCTAGTGATGCCTGAGTCTTAATTTCCCAGGTGTTACTAAACCTAAACCTTCTTGAACCTATATCAAGAGTGTAAAGAAAAATAAATCGAATGAGATTATTAATACAAACAAAAAAAGAATAATCGATGAATACATTCATAACAGTAAGCTAATTTTTTTTTAAAAACTGCAAGTCAAATAATTTTGACTTGAAAGTAACGAGACATTAACAATACACAATAAAATTCATAATGTATAAAAATTTAGAATTTGTACAATCTTTTATCGAGTTTCACCACTGTAAGCCATGTCCACTCCCATTCACTAGTAACTATTGATATTCTTAAGAGAAAACATAAAGGGTGAGATTAAAAATCCCAATAAGTGTATGAAATGAATTAGAATTTATATTTAGATTTAGAAAGGGAAATTCATAACGTACATAAAGAAGGCACGAGAATTATACCAAACTTAAGTGGTATTAATGTTACACATAACGCTATTAAACTCCGGTCCTAACCCATATAAATGATTTGAAAATTTAGAAATATGAAATACAATCCACGTAGAATACTCGTAGCTACACTTGCTTTGATAAAATTTGATGAGAAATGGAAAAGTCTTGGTGAATTAGTTTGAAGCTAACCCCGAGGGGTTGCTCAATTGGTCAGGCCTTGGGTTTGCTCCCCATTGGTCACCAGTTCGAGTCCCCTCAGGTCCACTGAGGTGAGTATCCGGCCGTAAACTTCAGGGCCCTGTGGAATTAGTCGAGGTGTGCGCAAGCTGGCCCGGACATCCACGGTTATCCAAAAAAAAAAAAAGAAATGGATAAAGAAAATTTAGGAGAGAAGTGTAAACTTACCAACCCTGCCCAAATGGTGGCAGAGGAAACTCCCAACCCTTCCCTCTTAGAACTGCACTTGTAAATCTACAAACCATTTCTCTAGATTAATAAATAAACCATCAAAACAATTCCAGTTCCCAATTTTTTTCCATATATATATCCCATTCCTCGTCCAAAATCAAAATTCATAAGATACAATGTTTGGTATCATGGAATTTGGCCGTATAATTATTTCATTCAAATTTGAATTTTTCCATGAATTCTAGTTCTTACCCATAGTCCACAACATATTGCATTTTAAAGTTATGTCCAAGTAAATATAATTTTATAAGTAAAATATACCATAATTATATTTTATATTAAGAAAAAGCACTTACTGGAAATTCACTCGTTGAGCTGATGCTATTTGAATATCAGACCGAACAAAGAAGACTCCATCCGGAGGAAAAGTGATAACATTATTCAGACTCTTCTTCTCCACATCGATCACCTGCAAAACATCGCCGGCGGCGGTACCAAAAAACGAAGCATTCTTAATTATGAACAGTTGTTCTTTCTCGGTGGTCCAGAGCATGCGCCACGTGGCGGAGAGGGAGTCGCCGGTGGTGACAGTATCTTTGCCAATTGCGGCTAGAGAATCGACGGCTTCAATTATCTGCGAGAGCTTTTGGGGATCCGATTGAGTTCTGAGGCCGCGGTCTTGGTCGGAAATGAGGCGAAGGAGGTGGCGCTTGGCAGTTTGGGAAGCGGATTGGGCTTGTGATTGGTCTGTGAGGGACGAACGGGTGACATTATTGATTTTCCTTCGGAAATTGAGAGTGGCGGGAAGATAAAGGCATGTGTTTGTGGCCATGACTAAATTGGGAGATTGTTGATTGTTTTAGGATCACAAAACCAATGATGTTGGTGGATGTCTTCATATCGTTAAATTATTGAATAATCAAACAAAATATAAACTAATAGAATCAAAATTCAAAAATTACAAATTCGTAGATTTTTTTTTAAAAAAAAATTACTAAACCAAATTCCGTTTATTTGAATATTCAGAAAAGGCAGCTGAAGGAGCTGTTCATTTTTGTAGAATTCATTTGTGGTAAGAATTTCATTTCTGATTTCGATTTTTGTTGATTGTTTGAAGGTTAGGTCTCGATTTTGTTCTCTTTCTTCCATCTCTATTTAGAGCCTGATTGAACCTCATTTCTTCGACAAAACTGCATTTTGGAAGTGATTTGATTGAGAAATGTGTAATTAAAAAATAAAAAAAGTTTTGAATTTGCGTATAATATTATTTTATTAAATAATGTTTGGTTGAAAATAAGAGAGAAATATTTAAAAAATAATGGGAATCAAACAAGACTTAGGGCATGTTTGAGTCCGATTAAAATCTGATTTTAATTTAAGTCAAAGTCAAACAATCAATATTAACCACATGGGTCCCACATCTTTTCAACCACACATTTCAAAAACTTCTATCACAATCCACTAAAAAATAATTTTAATTTCCACCAAACACCATTTTAATGTTTTGAGTTAATAATGTGCCGTTATTAATGTTGAATTAATTGTATTTATATTTTATCCTATTTTTATACTACTAGTTTTTCGTCGTACGATGTACGGGTTTGGTTATGTTGCTG